TTGCAAGAACCTTTCTGGATCAGCTACAAGCAGAGTGGTATTATCAGGAACCATGCTGTCTCTGTTGCGTTTGATGTTGATGATGTTGATGTATTTTGTTGTATTTTTCAACAGAAGTCGGAACCCAACAGGCTGATATTTTCTTCATTGCCAATGTTCCTGTAATATTGGAATGTATTCTCTCTTGGGAAATGTCTGCTGAATCATTTCTTCCTTTCACGTGAGAGGAGCTCAACCCACAGCACTTAAACTTTGCTGCGTAACTCTATGCTGTGACAGAGGTTGTATTCCTATCTTCATGGATGGATTTCGGTGTTCATCCCATATTACGCAAGTACCATATGTTATATTTGGGATTACACTTTCTTGGTAAAGTACAGATTCTAGTACTTTTGTTGGGTTGAGTCCCACGCCTTCAGAGTCAGGCACCTAATCGCCAGCACACGAAGTCAGCCGCCTAACCCGCTCAGCGGACAAGAGAGACTTTGTGTGCTGGCGATAAGATGCCTGACTCTTAGGGTGTGGGTTCGAATCCCGGATTGGACTCAACCCAACACAAGTACTAGAATCTGTACTTTACTATGAAAATGTAATCCCCAATATAACATATGTTACATTTGACCACTTTCTAAAATGGCATTGTGTATTATTCATACGCAAGTACCAGATTGCTGTACGTTCCTGGCGTCTGTACAATTTCTACAGGTCACAGACATCTGCTTGTTTTAATCACTTATCACAGCGCAATACATTGCTCAATGAATCATGTAATATCCACAGCAAACGATTCCCTCGTAAGGCTCCGAACGTATCATTCCACCCTCGAATATTTGGTGGCGGTGGGGTAGTCTAGTGGTTAAAGCGGTCGCTCGTCACGCTGAAGACCCGGGTTCGATTCCCTACATGGGTACTATGTGTGAAGCCCATTTCCGGTGTCACCCGTCGTGATATTGCTGGAGTATTGCTAAAAGCGGTGTAAAACCTAGCTCACTCACTCGAATATATGCTATAAGAGCAGCAGTAGTAGCATTATGTTTTGTATATTTTGTTCAAACAGCAGTTTTCCATGAAGAGGTTTCTGGGTAGTCATATTACACAGTGTATTAGTTTTTTTTCGACGATGACAAACCCTATGATTGTATGTATCTTTAGGTTGGCGAGTGAGTGAGTTGGGTTTAACGAGCCTTTGAACATTAATCCAGTTATATCACGACGTGTCAATATACTGTTGGGGTAAAGACGATCTTGGAGTTGCAATAATCTTAGCATTAAGTAAGTCATGCGAAATAGGTTCAATGTTGCAATCAAGATGTGCTTCTATACGCGCATGCAACTGTATGTGACATTGTGTACCAGTTAAAACGTGTGCCGGTAGTGCTAGAACACTGAGATACCTATGGCCACTGTTTCTCTTGTGTCAGAGAGTTGGTAATTATTCCCAAACAAACATACAAACTATATACGTTTATGTTGATGTGGGAGGTACGACTGTCTTTCAGTCCTGAGTTTGCTTAGTTAGGTTCAGCGACTGAGACAGACTGATGACAATAGCTTCAGCCCCTACTCGCTGAGACTCGGGTTTGACCATCCCATCATGTTTCGTACATGGCAGTGGCGTCTAGACAGGATGGAAATGAGCAAACGACGCGTTGTGTATTACGGCCATAGTTAGGTACATCTATGTCAGAACCATCTCACTACCGACGGACTTTCCGATTGTGCTTTCAGCGTCTGTTGGTGGCATCAAAAGTTATATTGCTTTTGTCTTCTTTGCTGAAAGTGTACACTTTCCGAATACCATCGTAACCGGTCACAACTCACCCTCGATAAACCAGGATATCATGTCTCATGCATGTGTATATTTATCTTAAAAGTGAGTGAGTGAGTGAGTATGATTTTACGCCGCTTTTAGCAATATTCCAGCAATATCACGGAGAGGGACACCAGAAATGGGCTTGTACCCTTCCCTCGTGGTTGGCGTCGTTCAATTTGGTTTGTTCAATGCCGCGCACAGCAATGTTCAACCCTTTTTATAACCACCTGCATGTAATATGTGGAGCCTGGACCAGACAATCCTGTGATCAGTATTATGTGTAATTTCCCAGGCCAAAGCAGTGCGTTGACCAAGCCATCTATTCTGACCATGTGCCCGATCTAATTAGTTGCCATGACCACCATCATATAGATAACATGCTACAGGAACCAGTTCTTTCTCTGATTCTAAACAGAGCGCTTGTAACATTGTTCTTTTGCTGTTTAGGTACTGAGTGAGTGAGTGAGTGAGTTTAGTTTTACGCCGCACTCAACAATATTCCCGCTATTTGGCGGCGGTCTGTAAATAATCGAGTTTGGACCAGACAATCCAGTGATCAACAGTATGAGCATCGATCTGCGCAGTTGGGTACCGATGACATGTGTCAACCAAGTCAGCGAGCCTCTCCACCCGATCCCGTTAGTCGCCTCTTACGACACGCATGGGCTACTGAAGATCAATTCTAACCCGGATCTTCACGGGTTGTTTAGGTACTAATGTACATGAGAGTGTCTCGTGTATAGACATCGGGCAAGAGTTTTGTAATTATCATTGGTTGATTTTCTTGATCATAAGACTTTAGTTACCATAGTAACAGTCAAAACAGTGTATACCTTCCCATTAGCCTGATCGGGAAGGTAGCAAATTACCACAACTGAAATCAATCCTCATTTTAAAAATCAGATTGATGATATTCTGTGATATCATGAATGAATAAAAAAACGTTCTTAACACCCCTACTAAAAGTGAATCGGAGATGTAAACAAAGCCAAGCTGGGCAAGACAAACAAGTGATTGATCATGACGTGATGTGTAACCAGTGACTGCTTGAAAGCATGTAGACTGATATTCAATGAACCAAGACACCTCACCTTAGTACCCGATCTTGTGAGTGAATATGGTTTTACGCTGCTTTGAGCAATATTTCAGCAATATCACGACGGGGGACACCAGAACGCATTGTACCCATGTGGGCAATTGAACCCGGGTCTTCGGCGTGACGTGTAAACGCTTTAACCACTAGGCTACCCAATCGCCATGTATGGATCCACGTCCGTCGCCTGTGACGATAAGCTCAGGGTCCCGTAAGCTGGGCCCCGTCTCGCATATCGCTTTCTCGAACGTTAGCGCACGCAAAGGCAGCCGGGAACCAGCTTAAGGGTCCCGATCCACAAAGAATTCGTAGCGCTACGACATTCGTAAGCCTATGGTATAAACTGTACAGTTACGCCAGGTCGTAACGTTACCAATACTTTGTGGATAGGGACTCAGATTACTTATGACCAGTTGTGTACGGGGTCCACACAGAGGTTCCGTACAGGTGTAGTACCGGGAACAAATAACCAGTCACTGGAGGAATACTGGGAGATTTTCGCAGTCCGTAAAAATCCAGTATTAAAATTTCCTGTAACATTTATTTCTCTATTTTCCTGTAATAGATACCATTTTGTCATGACTGTGGCGTTAATACTTGCGTTTGCTGTTACCTTCTACACACGTATCTCCTTTCTGTAAATCCTAGATAGTGTCCAGGGCCTAGATTTTCGAAGCTCTCTTAGCGCTAAGATAGTCGTAAGTGCCATACATTAACATAGACTTACTACTATCTTAGCAGTAAGAGAGCTTCGAAAATCTAGGCCCTGGTGCTATTCAAGGTCAGAAAATTTAACAATTGTATAATAAATTCAACCAAATCCTTTCTCCGCCCAGCCCTTACTATGTTATGACCCTGATGGTAGCTAGCGTCTTCATTTTTTCCACAAGAATCTTCAAAATCACTGGGGCTTATTTTCAGTTTCAATGAAGTTGCTTGCTTCAGTGAAAATCGTATATTAAATAATTTTCAGAGTCTGGGTTTTTCTAAATACTTGGCGGCAGTGAAGTATGCATAAACATTAGCTTGAAGCGTCCATAAAATGACCTTTTACTTGTCTTGGATTAAGTTTAATGAATTCGTACATCTTCCTCATCATAGAGCACCGAACTATCACTTAGCTGAAATTACATCTCATCAGGATGGTGACGACCCCTTTCGGTTCGACCGAATACATCATATTTCACGAATCAAGGATCTGTTTATTTGATGTTAAACTCCTTACTCGGTATTGTGGGGGCGGCGGGGTAGTCGAGTGGTGAAAGCGTTCGCTCGTCACGCCGAAGACCCGGGTGGCTACACTGTGTGAAGACCATTTCTGGTGTCCCCTGTAGTGATGTTGCTGGAATATTGCTAAAAACGGCGTAAAACCATATTCATTCACTACTCCGTATTATGACGGCGGTCTATAAATGAATGCATCTGGACCAGACAATCCAGTGATACAATGTCATGCATCAACCAAGTCATCGAGCCAGAACAGCCGTTCTGTTATCCGTAATCTTCGGGAAAATTCTAAAATAATTATTTCCATAGCCAAACCTGATAAAGCATTCACGCACGCACGCACGCACGCACACACACACAAGTGCAGTAAACGATTTTCTGGTGGCAATCAGGCAGCATATTTGTGCGACACTAATTGATTGTTGCGAAAGAATACACCACAGCAGTTGTATCAATTGCACTATGCGAGTGAATGAATGATATCATCAATCGGGGTGATGGAGTTCAGCACTGCACTCTCATTTTGACATAGTAATGGTAATCGGTCGTTGGGATAATAGTACACCTATCGGAACAGCTTTGACGAACTATGCCGGCATTGGTTGTATTTGCGAGAACCGAATAAAAATTTGCGAAAACATTTTATTTCCCAAATTAGTGCTGAGTGACTCTCGCTAACCAGATTTGATTGTATTACATTACAATCGACTTGGATAAGAATGTGATACAATTCACAGGCTTTATGTAAGTTAACAATTTCCTTTATCGATAATTCCACATAACAATTGACATTATCCAAAGCGAGAACACTCTCCGAAAACACGGAAACATTCGCACAAGACATTCGACGTAAATTGTCGATATATATCTGAATGACAAACCAGTCGACAACAAGGAATGAGGGTTCTGTATCAATTGAGACAATATTTACTATTGCCGTTGTAGACCTTAAGGTAAACAGCTGCTCATTATAGATCAGATAAATGATTGTCATCCCTTTCGAATACTATTAGACAATATTTTCCAGCTTTGCAGCATCACCAGAATTGCGGAAACCGCATGTTTCTGCATCTTGCGATGGCTTAACCATCCTCGGATATACGAGAAGTTACTTCGCTTCGGGTTGTAGTCAAAAGGGCCAAATGACAAAAGGGCCAACAGAAAGTTAAAAGGGCCATAGACTTAACTCAAAAGGGCCATAGGTAAAAAAAGAACATACAAACTAATATTTATTTTATGTTTTATTATGTTAATATTTATTATTATTTGTATTTGTAAATAGTAACAAAAGTGATCATCATACACTTGACAGTTGAGTGGTTCAAATTTTCAAATGGTGGCTCAAGTGGTTCAAATGTTCACAATTCACTCATCTTTAGAGTTCACCACAGACATCATCACTAGACACATCATCATACACATTCCACTGCAATCATTCCACTGAGGGGCGCCGCCGGGGTAGCCTAGTGGTTAAGCGTTGGCTCGTCACGCCAAAGACCCGGGTTCGAATCCCCACATGGGTACAATGTGTGAAGCCCATTTCTGGTGTCCCCTGCCGTGATGTTGCTGGAATATTGCTAAAAGCGGCGTAAAACCAAACTCAGTCAGTCAGTCAGTCAGTCAGTCATTCCACTGACGTGGTAGGGCCATGGGTTCGTGAGCGCAGCAGGGCACCCATGACTCTGTTTAAACCTCTTGTAATCATTACAGAAACAGTTGTATGGTTGACTATACCCACAACATAAACACTTAACCACTACCGTTAATCTTGTTTTGATTACTGACTACTCGTAATCATTACACAAACAGTTGTATGGTATAAAGTAAACACTTAACCACTCTGAGATTTTTTTAAATAAACAACACTGAGGCACTCTGATGTATAGGATTAGAACTACTGCAACAACATGTAATGAATTTCTTTTAATCTTACTATTTTCTAACAGTATGGCCCTTTTGACTTTTTCAATTATGGCCCTTTTGTTCTTTGGCCCTTTTGACCTGTTCCCTTCCCTTCTCGCGAATAGGCTGTGCTCATTTTATTAACGCTTTGTTTATTTTTTACGTAATCACCCGTTTGAATTAATGTCAACAGATAATTCATTTGTGAATGCACGAACGAACATGATGAATACCAAATACCATGGATAAACTACTCAGAAAGAATATTGTTTGGTACGCTCTCCTTGCTTTGTCACGTGATTGAAAGGTCCTGACTTTCTTCATGTCTAATTTTGTAAGTCTGCCATACAGACCCTGAAACAAATATATCCAAGAAAGCCCGAGAAAGAAACAGTTTCAATGGAAATGAAGAAAGTCTCTTGGCTCCTTTTCGTATATGATTATAATTTAAGAACCATTATTTTCTGTAAAATATGTTCATTTCAGAGACTAGATGTTAGTCCAGTGATTCAGTAAAAATATTCAGAAGCAAGAAGAAAGTGTATTAAATATTGAATATGTTGCATGCTGTTACTTTGTCTGGCGACAGCCAAAAGGCTATGGCCATGATGACAGTCAACACTGAAGTCAGTCAGCTGATGGGGTCCTTCTTGACCAGAGTACAGTCCTTAATCCCAGGGGTACAATTTGACATGTTGATACAGAGCTCCAGATAAGATTTAGCTCATGTAGGTATTGGACCCTCTGTATTTTTTTGGAGTGGGTATTATGAATGTTGAGTGGGTATTTCATTTTCCGTTACCCTCTGCTTTAAAATATGTGCGTATTTCAGTCATTTTACTCACCTAAGTATTATGTGACTGAGTAAGTTTACTAAGCAGGTATGTTCTGCCTTATGTCATACCTAATCAAAACCAACTTAAATATAATGGAAATGATTTCATAAAAAATCACTCATCCTATACTAACAGTACAACTTGATAGCAATCGATGTCTTTTTCATTACGCAAGTGATTTTTATAAATATATTCTGACAGTACATTTGTTTTAAACTTTTGCTTATCTAACATTTTAAATGCGTAATTGGTACGCAACAATTATTTTTCAATGCTTAATTGGAAATTTTATATGTGTATTTTACCCGGATACGAAGCTTATCTGGGCCTATGTCGATATCTGTGGTATATTACCCAGACTAACATCTTCATATCATCTCTTTTTTGATAACCTGGGCTTGCTTGCTACTTCATACAATCTGGTTAAATTCTACTTGATCGATTTTGCAGCATTATAATTAGACTCAGAGCTGAATTTGGCCTGGTATATGCTATATTTTGGGTCACAGAGAGGGAAAGCGCAGAAAGTCACATACAGAACAAGCAGTTGTTGGAAGGCAGCCTGGGACTGATTTCCTAATCTCTGCTTCTTTTCATCCTAGGAAGAAGCAGAGGAATATGGAGAAGCAGTACTCGGTGCAATTCTTTACCTCCTTCGTGGAGCAGCTTCAAGATGTGTGTCGCAACTACCTCCAGTTCAGTCAGTTTGTGGAGGTCAGTGGCTATGTGTGTGTGGAGATCGACAACATGAAGAAGGAGAGATACGTCCTGAGTGAACTGCTACAGAGCAGTGGTAATGTGGTTAGTGAGAGCTACTGTACAAAGTCATTTGAGACTCGAGGAAACCGATTTGCCTGTGGGGACTCAATGGGCATCTATGAAACAAGTCTTTCTAACACTAGCAGAAACCCCCAAAAGAGAAATGAACAAAGTCAAATTAATTCGAGAAGTAAACTGGTGACAAGACAAGAGGAGGTTCTGCAAACTTTTCCAAAGGATTCTTCATCTTCTTATTCAAGAAGTCATCATGGTGTGAATGCTATGTCCACATTTTGCAGTGACTTGGGACAGGAACAGATGGCAGAAGATACTGTGTTTGCCAAATCATCTTCTTACACATCTGTTTCACTGTCTGGAACCAGTTGCAGAGCAGTCAACCCAGAACAAACAATAACGCCTACATCTGTGTTCACCAATATTTCTCCTTTTGGTAGAGAAAGAGTTGGACGCAACTCCAGAGAAAGTCATGACTTTGTTTCTCCTAGTCCATCTTCCTCAGCCTCAAGGTCAAGTTTCACTTTTGATACTATCCAAGATGACACAGAGGAAGCCTCCGTATCTGTTCCCCAGAGTTTAGGTGAATCTGTGTCAGCGACTTTCAAAACGGAACCAGAGATTGAGGAGGTGATTGACTTGGATTTGTTTGAGGAGGACCTGGATGTGAGCCAGTGTGGAACCTTTGACTCCCATCAAGGTGGAGGATTTAGTGAGAACGGTCCATCCAGTGCATTTATACCAAGGAATCATAAGAAGACAAATCCAGGGACTTTGAAAGTAATGAAAAGTTCCCTAAAACAGTTCAAAAGTTACTACCATGATAAATATGGCCAGGACATTGATCCTCTGGCAACAGATCCAGAGGAACTGGATCAGATTCTTCTCGACTTCTTTCAAGGAACCAGGAAGAAGAACGGTACCGAGCCGAATCCAGGATCTCTGAAGACAATGCAGGTGTTCCTCGAGCGCTACCTGAAAGAAGGGGGCTACCCTTATTCGATTACAAAAGATGCACGGTTCAAGTCGTCCAGGAACTACATCAAACAGAAAATGGAGGAGTTCAACAGGAACAAGATCGTGCAAAAACCCATCCCAGTGGATGACAATGACATTGAGATCATGTTCGAGAGGAATGTTTTGGGTGGCTATAATTCTGAGTCTCTTCTCAACACTGTGTGGTTCCTGAATTCGAAGTACTTTGGTTTAAGGGGAATAGCAGATCACTTCAATCTGAAATGGGGGGGATATCAGACTGAAAGTTGACGACCAGGGTAAAGAGTATGTAGAAAGGGCATTGAGTACCAACTTCTGTCTCAAGGTGTTTGCCAAGCCTGACAACCTTGACCGGTGTTTTGTCGACTTCTTCAAACAATATCGGTCAATGAGACCCAAACTAGCTATGGATGATGGATCTCCATTTTACTTGAAGTCTGCTAAAAACATACCCTTTGACAAATGGTACCTTCCTGAGCCACTGGCATGGTCTTGTTTTACAAAGCTTTGGAGAAAGATGGTTTCAAACTCAGGCTTGCCCTTTCGGAAGAAAATATTTTGAAGGTACCTGTGTTGAAACTCTAGACATGTTGATGACAAAGGGTGTTGCATGAACAAAATACTTCATGTGAAGCACCGCCATATAGCTGGAATATTGCTGAGTGCGGCGTAAAACTAGATTAAACTGGCATTATGATTACAGGTGACACGTTTCAATTTCAATGTTGTTATTGAATTTACGATTAAATAAACGTTTCAGTGCTTTTGTTCCCAAATCAATGAACCAGCAACACAAAATAACATTTGACGATTGAAAAATGTCTGAACTGAGTACTGTTTCCCTGTATTTGTCATGTTTGTTGGTCATTTAGAACCTGGTTGATGATTGATTGTTATTTAATGCCGCACTCAGCAGTATTCCAGCTACCGTATACCGGGAAATTTTCAAGGTACTAAAATTTCGAGGTTTGAGACCCCCAGAGCTTTCGAGGTGATATAAATTTCGAGGTTTGGGGGCCTAATATATATAAATATTTTAGACAATTTTAATTTCGAGGTAAGAAGAAAGTGTCCAGAAACATGACTTACTGGACCAATACTCAATGAGCTATTGGCAAAACTCCTAGTAGCCAGTGATAACTGCCGTATGACTGTTATAACTACCGGTATACCAGTCCATGGCAGAAATAATAGTAATGAAAACAACCCTTTGATCCTTTGTTGTGATAAATGACCCATGAAACACTCTGTCGGCAGAGTTCAAACATGACGCCATTTTTTCTCAGGCGATATTGTTTTTTTAACAACTAACTATAAGCATGTATGATGGGTCTCTGCTGAAACTATGTTGTTGTTAGAAAGCTGACAAGTTGACCTCTTTAGCGAAACTGCCCAACTGCACGAATGCCTTACAGCCCCAGGATGTTTGTGTAAACAAGCCCTTTAAAGACGCGCATCAAACCTGGCATCGCTGATGCAGTCCGTTTGGCCAGAGAGTGACATGGAGTGTATTGACAGTTGGTTTGACTTCACATGGAACACACTGATTGAATTACCTACTTTTTGTAATGCATGTTATTCTGGACCAACAATTAAATAGTCACGACGCCGCATTTCTGTTGTTTGTTTATTCAGGCCGTTCAGGGTCACTGAACGTTAAGATTAGTTGTAGACAGGCATTACAGAGTTACTGCGCATGTCAGGAAGTCATTGGTTGGGAGCAGTTGAAATGCTTATCGATAGGAAATCTAACCCAAAGGTCTGAAGTTCGGAAAAATTCATGGATATAATATTTTTGAGGTTGCGTTTCTAACCTCAAAAACCTCGAAAATTAGATACCTCGAAAATTTCCCGGTATATATGGCGGCGGTCTGTAAATAATTGAGCCTAGACCAGACAATCCAGTGATCAACAGCATGAGCATCAATCTACGCAATTGGGATACGATTAGGGATGGGACGATTCACTAATGCATCGATACATCGTGATACATTAAGTTTAATACATCTATTGTATCGTCGTGTGGTGTATTGATACAAAACAATACACAACCTTTTTTTTTAAAACATGTTAAAGTACTTATTTAGAGAAAAATATGCCCGTATGATAGAGTTACTTGCTTGTTTCTACAATAGTGTTATTGTTATACACAAATACCTTGAAATAAATCATTTTTACTCTTAATACTGTGCCATTCTTTCAAGGTGTATGTATCGTGATATGTATCGTATCGTATATGTGATCCCAGGTGTATCGCGATACGTATTATCGTATATTGACATAGTGTATCATCCCAGCCCTAGATGAGATGACATGTGTCAACAAGGTCAGTGAGTCTGACCACTTGATCCCATTAGTGGCCTCTTACGATGACAAGCATGGGTTACTGAAGACCAATTCTTACCCGGATCTTCACAGGTTTAGAATTGGATAATTTATGTTCAGCTTAAATTGCTTCATTTTAAGCTCATAAAGAGGCCAAGCTATTTCTCATCAGCTTGCTGAAAAAAGAATTGTAACATCACCTTATAACATGTTCATTGATATAGCTTTGGGATCATCCTCACCTGTCCAGGGTTATATATGTGATTCATTCCTCCATTTACTCTGACTGTTTCATATTCTTGTTCTGCCATCTGCAGTTGATAAGCAGTACTGACTCTCATCTGTGAACAGAACAGTTCTCCATTGCCTGTATCGCCAGTTTTGGTATTGTAGGGCAAACTGTAGACGTTCACGCCGATGACGAGGGGTAAGGATAGGTCCACGGTAAGGTCTACGGCAATGGAGGTTCCTGCTGTTAAGACGTTGGCGTACTGTATCAGTACTGATTGGTCTTCCGTGTGTTCACACTATCTGGCATGCTGTTTTGGATGCCTGCATGAAGGGATTCTGTACATGCTGTCGCACAACATGGCGGTCTTGTGGTCACCCTTGGTCTGCCAGAACGGGGGCGATCATTTGTGGTGTTGGTGTCCGGAAACGTTGCTGCAGCCTGTAGATGGTCCGAACGTTGACCTGGAAGTGATTGGCAACGGTTTGTGCAGTGTGGCCAGCTTCAAGTCTTCTTAGCGCCTGGTTCCTCTGAGCTGTCGGGAGTCGCGGCATCCTGCTGCCGTTGAAATGTGAATGTTTAACCAGGTTTGAGGGTGCATTTTATAGGGCTGGTCCTTGTGAACAGCACATGCAGCATAAGTTGCATGAAAAACATGGAGAACACCGTACCATCTCTGAGATCAGGTTGCGTTTTTGAGACCATTTCCTAGGTTCAATTCTGAGTTTGGGAAGGAATGTCTTTGCTCAGGTAAAGTTGGAGGTGTTGTCAAAAACATATAATCAAAACATTAAATGAGTTTACAGTTATCCGTTTATGCGAAGGAAAATTCCAAACTGACGTTTCTTTTGCTGCTTAGTATATGTATACATAAGGAGTGTGTGATTAGAGATTTGGTCACCTTTAGCTGTACTCCTGCAATGTCTGGGGGGCAAACACAGAAATGAGCTTTGGTTATACCTGTCTGTCAAGCATATTGACCTAAGTTGGTCAGAGCTTTGGTTATACCTCTGTGTGGAATTGAACTGGGGTCTGTCAAGCATATTGACCTAAGTAGGTCAGGTCACTCCGCAAGACCTTAGTACTTCCGGTGACAAACGTTTCATACCTTTTCGAATAGTCTCGTGGTTGTCAGTTGACAGTAAGGATCCGATAATCCATGCAGGAATAACTATTTTCCGATCTAACCATCCCCAAATTAGGCAACTATTACGACTGTCAACAGCTGTGACCACCAAGCTTGGTTGTACACTTGGTCCAGTCTAGCGAAGTCATATTTGGTGGTCGTTGCAAGTTGGAACCAGAACTGGTTCTTGAATATATGCTTGTCAACGGAATCTGGTACCGGAAATAAGCTGGACCCTGTCCCACATGTCACAAGTTGGCACTCGCAAAGGGAGCTGAAAACCAGCTTAGTACCGGAAATAGCGCCTCGAGTTAAAGACCCTATTGTTTTCATTGATAAGTACTGCTAGATGATGTAATTTAATTTGTAATATTGTGGGGTGGTGGGATAGCCTTGTGGTTAAAGCGTTCACTCACTACGCCAAACACCCAGGTTTGATTTCCCACATGGGTACAATGTGTGAAGCCATTTCTGGTGTCCCCTGCCATGATATTGCTGGAATATTGCTGAAAGCGGCGTGAAACTAAACTCACCCATTCAATTATAATATTGTTTTGCTCTGAGTAATATTCTATGGTGAATAGGAATGTATGTAGAAATGTTATTCAGGCCAAGTTCGGTAACTAAAAATATACCCGTCCTAAAGCTGACTATGTTTATCAGTTTATAACAGTTTAGCCAATTACTTTTTCAAATGCTTATTGTTAATTTGAAGTATAGACTAATATTCCAAGAAAATGATCATGATGATGATGATCACCTGATCGTCAAACAGTAACGACCCAGTTCCACAAAGCCATCTTCACACTATATTCTTAGCCTACATAAAACTGTAAGAGATACAATCATCTTAGAGCTAAGCTCACCTTAGGGCCCTGGTGGTACAACACAACCTCCGTGTTACAACTATCGTAAGTACATGTTATCGTATTTGAGTTATATCACCTTCGTGCTATGATTGCTTACACAACAGAATCCCTGGTCTTAATCTTAATAGCCTTGCTATGCTTATTATGAATCGACCGCCTCCGTGGTGTAGTGGTTAGAGCATCCGCCCGGAGAGCGGAAGGCGCAGGTTCGATCCCCTACCGCGTCATACCAAAGACGTTAATATATGGTACTTGTTGGTCCCTACCTAGCGTTCGGCATTAATGGGTACAACAAGGACTGGTCGGCTCGGAGTCAGTATAATGTGTCTGAGTTGGGTATTCATGCTTCACTGCGGCATGGTATCTCAGTGGGCTAGCACTATAAAACCAGCTTCAGTCTGGGCTAGTACAAACAGCCGCACATACACATACACACGCATGCACGTCGTCATATGAGCGAAATATTCTCAAGTACGACGTTACACCCACTTTCACCTTATTATGAATCAGCTGGCCGTGATGTATAAGATAATATCTTCTGATTGCAGAGTGAACCTTGATGGAAAGAGATGGATAAGCAGTACTCAGTGGAGTTCTTTACCTCCTTTGTGGAGCAGCTTCAAGATGTGTGTCGCAACTACCTCCAGTTCAGTCAGTTTGTTGAGGTCAGTGGCTATGTGTGTGTGGAGATCGACAACATGAAGAAGGAGAGATACGTCCTGAGTGAACTGCTACAGAACAGTGGTAATGTGGTTAGTGAGAGCTACTGTACAAAGTCGTTTGAGACAAGTGGAAGAACTACTAGTAAGTCTTTTTTTCATCATGCTCAAATGGACTCAAGTCAAACCGATCTGGGGACCAACAGAAGTTGGGGACAAGTAAACAAGGAAAATATGTTCCGTCAAAATCGCAGAAAAAGACCCTATCCTAATCCTGAGTTGTACCGTTTTCAGGATACCACTGATGCAGGACAACACTCTCAGTCTCCAATCTCTTGTGACCAGGAGGCATCAAATGATGGCTTTTCACACCCAGTTGATGTTAAATTCCAGAGAACTCCAAGTAGTAAGGCCAGCATTGTAAGGCACTTCAATATCACCAAACCAGCAACACAACCTTTACCAACCAGTATTCACTGTGACCCAGTGTATCCTGCAGCTAGTCCTTCTGATGAAAGAACTGAAAAGTTTGAAAGTTATCAACCTCCGATATCAACAAATTCTTCACCATTTGTTTGTGGAACATCTACCGATTCTAGTCCTGCACCTGAAAACCATGGTCTCGGTACAGACATCATGGCAAAACCAGCAGTTCTTGATAAAACTGTATTAGATGAAATCCTTGTGACTTTACCCCAGAGAACATCAGAGCAGCCACACCCAGAATCTGTTACAGAAACTGAAGAAGTCATAGATCTGGATCTGTTTGAGGATGATCTGGACCTGGATGAGGAAAGCTGCCAGGCTGCTTCTGGGATAGCTCCAGTTCATTCTTCAGGCACAGTTCAGAACAGGAGGCTCCATTTGAGCCCAGGAACTCAGGTGCTTGTCAGGAATTCGGTGAATCAGTTCAAAAGGTTTCTGTTTGAGAAATATCAAGAAGACTTTGATTTAGTTTCATGTACTCCAGAGAAACTGAACATGTTGTTGCTGGATTATTTGAGAGAGGCCAGAAAGGTCGATGGGGGAGAATTGAAGGGTCGTTCACTGAAATGTGTCCAGGAACGTCTTGACATCTTCTTAAAGGATGCAGGCTATCCTTATTCAATCACCAAAGACAGAGAGTTCCAGTTGTCCCGAGATTACCTCAAGAAGAAGATTACTGAAGATGGGAAGACTGTGTCTCCCAAACATTCTCCAGTGGACAGTAACGACATCGAATTACTCTTCCAGACCGGTCACCTTGGAGGACACAGCTTGGAAACTCTCATTAACAGTATGTGGTTCCTAAACTCGAAGTTCTTTGGACTCAGAGGCCCAGCCTATCATGTGGACTTGAAATGGGGTGATATTGTCCTGAAGGCTAATCATGAGGGCCATGAGTATTTGGAGAGGAAGCTGAACAGTGCTTTCTCCCTCAAGGTTTATGAAAAACCAGATAATCCGTCAAGATGTTTTGTCAACATGTACAAGCAGTACAGATATTTGAGACCAAAGATAGCTATGGATGAAGGGTATTCATTTTACCTGAAGTATAGTAGGGCCACTGGCCAGGACCTAAGGTACCTGCCAGAGCCAATGGTTTATCATCAGTTCACCAACATCTGGAGGAAGATTGTTGTTGCTTCAGGTCTTCCTCTGAAGAAGAAGATTATGTGAACCGTGGTGTTTAGCTTTGTTAACAGGGTCTGTGGTTTCACTGACATGGACAAAAATACATTCTAGTTTTTTTACATTGGCGTAGAAAGGTGAGGACCCTAAGGATAATCTTTCTCAGTGACCCAAAAATTAGAGAACTGCATAACGAAATAATTAAGTAGAAGTTTATAGAGAGTAGTCTATCATACAAACACTGAAACAAATATACCCAATGCAGCCCACGAATATCTGGCCAGTCTGGATTACCAGTTTCTGAAAGAAAGTCTTTGGGATCATTTTATTGTATTATATGAATATAATTTAGGAACTGTATAGTAGGTTTGCTTCAGAGACTAGTATTAGTCTACAGAGTGTCTTTAGGACCACGATTCACATAGTTTCATAACCTAGACACGTTATTTAAACAAATGGGGCGGTTGGGTAGCCTCGTGGTTAAAGTGTGCTCTCGTCACGCTGAAGACCCGAGTTCGATTCCCCACATGGGCACAACATGTGAAGCCCATTTCTGGTGTCCCCCTGCCAAAATATTGCTGGAGTATTGCTAAAAGCAGTGTAAACCATACTCACTCACTATTTAAACAACACTCCATACAAATCTGTTACAGCAAAGCAAACTTGTCGTAAGAGGCGACTAATGGGATTCAATGGTCAGATTCTCTGACTTTGTTGACATATATATTGTAGGAATTGTTACTCAGCATTATGTATTTTGATTATATCTGAATTCTTTTGATCACATTTATCAACATTTTGATGATTGTGAGAAATATATTTTGTATCATCATTACAAATTTCTTTGTTGCATATTAGTAAATATGGAGAGTTGATCAAATGTATCAGCTGAGGCAGTTGGAGTTTCTTTTCTTCTGTTATTGATAATTGCTAGGTCTTGAAAAGGCAGTAGAGCTAAATTGTACTTTTTATCTAATATTCTGAAGCATTACTCATTTCAAAATGTTTGTCTTTTTGAAAAAAGTACATGTTCAGACCTCTGTAAATTCAATCAGGCGTATCATGTCCCAAATTTCTCTTTTCCCTCTCAAACTTAGTAGACAATTTGTTTTGGTATATAGATTACTTTAAGTTGTTTGGGCTTTTTATTTAAAAATGCAGTTGAGACACAGTTCACTATTTGTTATTTTCTCGAGGATGGTTCTGAGTGTAAACAGAGTTTTCTCAAACCAAATCTTTACAATAAACATACACTCCCTTTGGCCAACTGACAGGACAGCCAGGTAGGCTGAAAGGATGGAGTAGGACTGAATAATAACCATACGGCACAGCACTGACAGGCCAATGAATAAATAACTTGGTGCAACTGAATAATAACCATACACTACCTTGGCACTTGTAGGCTCGAATAATAACCATACACTACCTTGCTTCAACTGACAGTAGGCAACTGAATAATCTCCATCAACTGACACCTGGCTGTCAACTGAATTTCTCTGCACTCCTCCAGTAGTAACAACACTAGTGAACTGTGCAACTGAAAATAACCATATAATGATAGTTTCAACTGAATAAAAGAACTTTTTGGTAGGAGTCGGAAAATTTTCAAATATAAAGTAGCTGTTGGGTATTAGTAAATGATAAACGTGTAGTAGGCAACTGAATATTTATGCGTCAATAACTTATAACCATTGCAACTGACATTTTGTGCGTCAACAAGGCAACTGAATAATAACCATAAACCTTAGGCGTAACCAACTGACGGTAGGCAACTGAATAATTGCAACTGACAGTAGGCAACTGAATAATAACCATACACTGACTCAACTGACAGTAGGTAACTGACATACACTACCTTTGCGCTGAATCAACTGACAGTAGGTAACTGAATAATAACCATACACTACCTTGCGTCAACTGACAGTAGGTAACTGAATAATAACCATACACTAATAACCATACACTACCATCAACTGACAGTAGGTAACTGAATAATAACCATACACTACCTTGCGTCAACTGACAGTAGGCAACTGTACACAACTGACAGTAGGCAACTGAATAATAACCATACACTACCTTGCTTGAACTGACAGTAGGCAACTGAATAATAACCATACACTACCATGCATCAACTGACAGTAGGCAACTGAATAATAACCATACACTACCTTGCTTCAACTGACAGTAGGCAACTGAATAATAACCATACACTACCTTGCATCAACTGACAGTAGGTCACTGAATAATTACCATACACTACCTTGCGTCAACTGACAGTAGGTAACTGAATAATAACCTTTCATAGGACACAACAATACACTTCAATTATTTTATCAGAAAACAAAACAGTGAGATGATACAGTTATTTCAAGTACATTTATGGCATGAAATATGCAATCAGACAGGATGTATATGTATTATTTAATTGATGTTGACGGCAATATGAACAACTGAAATTGAACAGTTTTACATAATTAAATTGTAGGCTCCAGCCACTGAAAATATTTGATTTTGTTCAATGCATTTACCCAACAATGTCAATCATGCTGATAAAACACTTTGCACTTTCTGAAAACACCACAAAGATAGGAAATAATTTCATCTTATTTCAGCACATATTTTATGCATGCCCAGTTTGGCACTGATGGCTTAAAAACTAATATATATGTAATTTAATATCTGAACATAGTTAAAGTATTGATATATTGAAATGTGGCCATGATCTTGACACAAAAGTTTGGTATGCAACAGTTATGGTACATTAACATCAGTGGTCCAGAGAATACGATAAGCCAGCATTATCAGAAGTCCTAGAAAGTAGAATACGTCAGAAAATGTTAATTCACTGGGTTTTTCGAAAACATTGGCTTCAGAAGCGATGGCATTTGGGTAAACTGCCTGTTGTAAAGCTGATGAAGGTGCTGGTGCTGACCAGTCTTGGTTGGCAGGTGCTTCCTTCATTTTGGTTGCAGACAACCCATGAGCCAGCAGTGGGGCAGCGGATTCTGTTGCAATTGGTGAAGACACTGTGTGATCTTCTGAATTTGCTTTCGAAAACATGCCTTGATCCTCCTTCACCAGTGATGATGTGGGTCTGGTCACTTGTGATTCATCTGTTTTGGGTGCAGGAGCCGGTTTATTTTGGTTTTCAGTGATAGCAGCAGCCTCCACTGTGATCGTTGGCAGTGAACAGTCATCTTTTGTTCCATCACATGTTTGCTGAATTGCAGAAAACTCAGCATCAGTAGGATGCATTTTCTGGGTGCAAGCAGATAGTTCATGAGCTGTTGACACACCAGAGTTGGCAAAGGTTGACTTGGTGTTTGTGACATATCTGATTGTGCTGGGAACAGCACCTTGTGTGTGGTTGTCTGGTGCAGCATTCTCACCAGTGTTCCCGGACTCAACTTCAGATGCTTCATTTCCCAAACTAACATTACCAGCATGTGGAGAGCCTTTATTTCCTGGACTTTCAGAATCTTTGATTACAAAGCCTTGAGGTTCTGGTTCCTGCTCACTGGGGTCAAGGTAGCCACGTGCTTCTTCAGTCTGGGACAAGACCTCCTTTGTGTACTCTTCCTGGAGCATGCGTCTCAGACAAGAGAGATCAGGTCGATCGGCTGGGGTCTTGGCGCTACACATATTGTAAAGTACCAACATGGTGTTGATCTGTGAACAAGAATGAATGTTCTGAAATACTTTTCCAAGACTGAAAACATCACTGGCTTTTGTTGTTTGGGCATAAGTACAGACTTCTGGCGCTATGTAAATGAAGTTTTTCATGTCTTGACCTTCGTCAAATGTGACTCCTGTTTTGTATGAAGCTGATCCCATGTCACAGTACTTAACTTTTGGGAGTGTTCCAGACAGGTCTACCAGGATGTTATCTGGCTTGATGTCATTAATGATGACATCTTTGTCGTGAATTTTGCCCAAGCCATCCACTAGCTGACACGCAATGTGTAGCCAGTGTATTTTAGGCAATGATTTCTTCGTGTTGAATATGGCACGGAGTGTTTGGCCAGATCCAAAGAATTCCAACACAATGCTGTACCTTCCTTTCTCATCTTTCACTAAACCATAACAGATTGGAACGTATCCTGTAGGTTCAAGGTACAGAGAAATTCTTGTTTCATTAACAATATTTCCCTGAGATCTCATGTTCATAAAGATTTCTTTCACGGCGATCTCTCTGCTTTGCCTTGGGGACAATGTCAGCGTTGCTGCGTACACCTTCCCACTACATCCAGTGCCGATAACTTTGTCAGTGAGACCATCCGACTCCACCTGGTAGTCGACCATGCCGGGCGGAAGAGTCGGAATCTAGATGTGCCTGAAATCTGGAGACATGGTGAAGGAAGGTCCACACACCCTCTTGAAGACATACTCAGACGGAAACGGTTCATGGCTGGCTGGCCTGTCCTCATCGTGGTCTGAGGTGGTGAGAGAAGTGGTGGCATGATCACTGCGGTAGGCTTGTCCGAGAGAGGCTCGAGAGGGAGACAGGATGTAATGATCGTGAATGAAGTCATCATCCCACAGGGAATTTACAGATGTTCCTGACCTGCAATAGCATTAAAGGTAAGATGGTAAATACAGATAAATATGTCCTTGTAGGTAAATACACACATACATTTCCAGAGTTGGTCTCCAAGTCTGAACATTACTGCTCCTGTAACTCGCTGTTTGTTTGTTGTTTCCCACCACAGCTATGTGACGGCGGTCTGTAAAATCGTTTCTGGACTAGACAATCCAGTGATTGACATCATGAGCACCGATCTACGCAATTGGGGTACGATGACATCCAGCAACCAAGTCAGTGAGGCTGACCGACCGAGTCCATTAGTCGCCTCTTACGACAAGCATTGGTTGCTGAAGACCAATTCCAATCCGTATCCTCGAGGGTTACTCGTTTAGTAAACACCAATCACAAAATGGAATATCATAGAACATATTGTATTTGAATTTAGAGTAGGACCTTGTTTAAGAAGACAATTTTATAACTTCAGTAAACAATGTGTTTGTCATGTGTTGCTTGTGTCAAAACACTCTCCACAAGAATGTATGACAGGGATGACTTCAAACTCCCAGTAGACAACTTTCCTGTTACGCCTAGAAATATTTCAGTCGCCCAAGCCATTGTATCAACATTTCAAAATTCAACTGGTAGAACAGAGCAGGCTTTTTCAGAAGATTTCAAAGAGTGTCAGGACCCTCGCTCACACTTTGTTTTATCGAGATTACAACATTTAAAGCATCAAAACAACTTTCAAAACCTTTTACTGTACGCATGTAGTGAACATTTCCAACAGTTCCGGGTTTGTTTTGCTTGTGTCATGTACCCTTTTTTCCCCAGGTGATACTCTAACCCTTTGTCGAAAAAAATCACTATTTTGATAGTGATTCACAAACACGTGCTTATGCTATAGTAAGAATTGTACTTTACATTCAGCAGGGATTGCTATGAAATATGTAAATGATGTTGTCAGTTTTGTTCATCGACAATAGGAAGGTGCCTGTAAATGGTTCTGTATTTCCATGACCACCGCCAATACTCATACAGACAAGTGTTTCTTAGGCAAACATATCCTATACATTGCACGTAGTAGTTGAGTATACAGCAAGGTGTTATCACGAATATTTGCACTCGAGAAGATCCGGGTTAGAATTGGTCTTCAGTGAGTGAGTATAGTTTTACGCCGCTTGTAGCAATATTCCAGCAATATCACGGCGGGGGACACCAGAAAAGGGCTTCACACATTGTACCCATGAGGGGAATCGAACCCGGGCCTTAAAGTAGGTGTGACGAGCGAATACTATAACCACTAGGCTACCCCACCGCCCCTGGTCTTCAGTAGCCCATGCTTGTCGTAAGAGGCGATTAACGCGCTCGGGTGGTCATCCTTGCTGACTTGGTTGACACATGTCAAGGTATCCCAATTGCGTATATCGAAAAATCTATTTAAACAGCAAACCAACCAAATAACCACAAATAAAAACAAAAATCGTGGGATGTCAGTTCTGCATTAAGTTTCAATTATGATAGTTAACAACATTTGGTCATGGTTCGGAAAAGGTGTAAACGAACCTTTCTCCGGAACTGCACCCTTTGAAGCAAAGATCTTCAATCAAATCATCATCACAGAGGAAACTATCGGGATGAACTGAACTCGTCACCTTCTTCCTGGAAAATATAACATATACTCAAATAATTATCTAATACATCAAACTCTATAACGGTGTCACTAAGCAATTTTGTTTCAGTTCACATTTGTCCCGCGAACGTTAACTATTCGGAGAAAAACGCAAAAAGACCCCACCATAAACAAACCCAAATCAGCTGATGTTATTGCAGATATTCAGTGTTCCCTTCTATGGAATTTGTATCACTTGTTTGCATTTGATGGCCAATGGGATCTGTTTCAATTGACAATCGCGACTGGTTATTCTCTGACATTGACGTTACATATTTATAAACATGTACCTGCATAGTTTGGGGCTCTGCCTGCAGGTGCTTCTCTCAGACAGATTATTGCACTGTTTCATGTCTGTTACAGACTCTTTGCGTTCCCCTGGGTGGGGGATCGTTGTGGCAGTCACTGCGTGGGGGACAAAGCCTCTAGATGACATCTTACACAGATGAGGCAAAGGGATGTCAAACAGATTTGACCACAGAGTCTGGTCGTCCTTGTAACCACCATTAAGTAATGGTTTGCACATTCTCTGTAACAGCTTGTCTTGGAGTGCCTTTGGGATATCAGAGATGGATTTGAAATGGGATACTTCCCAAAGGAGACGCTCCAGGCTTGGCCCATCATTCTTGCCTAGATCGGTTTGAACTGAAGCATTAGCTGCACATGAAAAAGACGTTGTTGCGACGCCTTCGGCACCACCAACATTAGCCTTCTTCACAACTATTCTTTCACCTTGGGTAGGTGCTTTATGATTCCATCTTACCACGTGGTCTCTAAAACGCATATTGCCATCTTGTTTTGGGGCTGTCTTGACACTGTCTGAAAGGCCATTGCTCCATATTTTGTTGGCTCCGGATTTGCTGTGGTTTGTATCTAGGTCCCCGTGGTGTGTCTCCTCCGCGCTAAACAACTTGATAGCACTGGTGGGGCGTTTGCTTGAATAACCGTGTCTTGACCTTGGCTTGGCACGTTCTTGGCATTTAGACTTTTTGCCTTCTTTAGTATTACCATTGTTATTCCTATTTAGATTGGCCATCATGCACACGTGTGCATTTCTCATGCTACTGGCGTCTTCACTAAACGAGTTGGAAGGTCTGTGTTGATGCACAGGGCCCTCTTCCTCCATCTTCCTCAGCTTCTCCCAGTACAGGTCCTCCATGACCTGGGTCTGATTTCGACCTGCCCGTCGACCTGGTACCTTGGTGGGACTTCCCACGAAGTACTTCATGTGTTGAGTGGCCAGATCCTTTCGGGTGGCCGAGACCATGTCAGGGTAGGTGTCCTCAAGCCAGTAGCAGGGTGTGCGTGGACTCTGCCGGGTGTCCTGTGTGAAGTAAAAACACTGATTTGAGCACTTTAATTTAAATGTGTGTGTGTGTGTGTATGCGTGTGGGAATGATTTGAGATCGAGAAAACCACGGAAAACGATCCAGGGTATTTCACATATCCATGGTTGAATAATCCATCTGAATAATCCAATCTGGATCCTATCAGCCATGTCTCCAACCACGACCACTCTAACCATGGTGGCCTCTTAGACCAGCATGGGTTGCTAGGGGTCTATTCTGGCCCGGAATCTCCGGGGTTGGTTGGGGGTGGGGGTGGTTTGCACCCCTTACGGGGTTTGGCAAAGGATTCCCTGGATCGGACTTGAGTCTCCACAGACTGCTATAAGACAAGAAAATTCCTTAATATCCCCGTGGGAAATTTGGTCAGCTGGATTATAGCTAATTGCGGCAAAAAACACCAAGTCAACATACCCTTTATGGCCGAAGTACGGCCTACAATTAAAACTGTCATTTTGTCTCCAAAAATAATTTCCAATATGAGTGAGAGTGATTTGAGTTCAACACCTAATGGTGATCAAAGATGTGTGATCCTCAGCACACTTTCGAATCCGTAGTCACATGACATTAAAATTCATTCATCAATCGCCTTCATCCTCTTAGCGAAATGGTCAACCAGAGAGTATTATGTCAAATTACCTTTTCACTCTCGTCGGTGATGATGTACATGGTTTTACTGATTCTGTTGCCGTCCACGTTTATTTGAGCAGGTGACGTGTGACACCAGCGCGCCCGATGATGTGGTTTCATGGAAGACATGCTTGTCTGCGCTGTCAGCGACATTGTGGCCGTGTGAACAATGACGTGACGTCACAAACGTATCCATGTTCAAAACGTCCTGCTGATCACGCCTCACGGGATTGAAGATATGTCCCACGAATTAATTGAAGAAATGGCACTCCACTGTTAATTTCATGGAAGCTTCCTGATATCTTTTACGCATTAAAAGTATTGTTGTTACATAGAGAATACTACACGAGGTCTCATTACATACGAATTATACGAACGAGTGTTCCTTCCTATGGTATCTGACCGAGCGAAAGCGAGGTCAGATACCATAGGAAGGTCACGAGTTTCGTATAATTCGTATGTAATGAGACCGAGTGTGGTATTTTATTTATTACCCACGTCTTACATGCATTTAAATTGACAAAATAGCGTATTTTTGTTATTTTTAGGCTTTCAAACCGAAACCGGTTTCATAAATAGGTTTTGTTGCGCACTAACCTTTGCACTTCTTTTGACATTCCTGAATATGCGCAATTGAAAATAGTGCTTGTTTTTTTTACTTAATAATGAAGACAAAACTTGTGGAAACGGTTTAACATTTTAATAACAGCAAACACAAGCTTCAAGAGAATCAAATTTTTCTCATCATAGAATAATAACGAACGATCAATTTGCAACTCGCATCACCCCGCATGACATACCGTCAACCGTCACTTCACGTGTTAGTTTAAGTTTGAGTCGGCGCTATCGGTCACTTGACACGAAGTGGAATTTTCAGGCTTTCCCTCGACCTGACAGTGGTTACTACAGAAGTTAATGTTTATTGTTCCACCATAGATTGGGGCAGAGAATACTGAGTTGACAAACTCAGAACGAGCAGAATTTGGTGTCGGTAATGGCCTAGCATATACGCTAGCAGTGACTGCATTGGAATGTGACGCCATGGTTTGCGGAAGGGCAAGGTCACCATCACAGGAAATCATGTTACTCAGCTGACGGTGCTGGACAGTTGTGATACTAGAGTAATTGTTCACGCTCTGAATGTTTTTGTGTCCCGAAATCTGCATTATCTCAGTCCCAGCAACACCACTGGAACGAAGAGACTGAATCATGGTCTTTCTAGCTGAATGGTTTGTCAAACGTTTGCCGGTAATGCCAACTGAACTAGCCATTCTCCTCATTATGGATCCAAGTTTATTTTTGCCAACGGCACCGCGTTTAAACCAAGGATGGTTATCTTTTGGAGCTGACTTTGAATTTGTGGCCAAATAAAAAGGCGTGTCAGGAGAGCAGTAATCTCTAGGACGGAGACTGGCGTACAACCTGTACAGGGATACGGGACAGCGAGCGTCGTTAGTGGCCCATGCACGGGGAGCGACGTCTCGGACGTTGCGAATGTCACTGCCGGTGCGGGTTTTAGTTTGGCGTTCATTATACTCCAAGAACTGCCCTCCGTCAGAATCTGTTTTCACCTGAATGTCTCCCCATCTCATCAAGTGATGTGGTTTAACACTTCGGATGCCAAAATGCCTGGTATTGTTCCACCACAATGTGTTTAATATCCCCTCTGGATTACTGGGACCTAATTCTCCGGAATCGTAGAGTGTTTGGATTTCCTCTGGAGACAGACTTTCAGCCCTATTAGGTAAGTTGCCGAGCCCCTCACTCTTCAGGATCTTTTGTTTAGTTGATAGAACCTCGCGTACTTTGGAGAATTCCCTGTCATTAAGTAACGACTTTTTCGTACCCTCTACCTTTCAAATATCTGTCAAAACTGGACAGTTTTGATGTAAGTGTGAGCTGGGCTCATAATCCTCGCCATTAGATTTCTTTATTTCAATGAAAAGGTGCACAAAATGTCACACAGTTCTGGCGGGGTATAGTTTCAACTGGTCTTGTGTCGCCATTTGACTTCATGAACTTCATGAGAATGTTTATGTCATAGTCAGTCTTTCGCCAAGTGTTTTGATTCCGATTTTGTTGGATGTAACTGTCGATGTTTGAACAATCATAGCTGAAAGAACTTTCATCATTTACCTCCTCAAAGAAGTTATCTTTCATAAATTCTTCCAAAATATCCTCCGGTAGTGACAGCTGATCAATGCTAGTGGGAGGGGCCATTGATACAGTTTCAGGAACCACAGTAAGTCTGTGTCTGTGTACTTGCCTTATTTCCCCATCCAAAGTTTTGACATTAAAAACACTGAATGTTCCCAGAGGTTTAACGGTGGAAGTGACTCTCCCTCGAACTATTCCATCGATTTTCACGGAGTCATTAACACGAACGGGAGTGGCCATGTTTTCTCATGAGCAAAACAGCAAAACACAGCAGACGAACTTTTATCTATTTTCAAAAAACTGTAAATTAATTAGAATTTGTGATTGATACGTATACTAGTGTTCTTGTAGTTTTTAATATTTAACTTTTTATGTGTTTTTGTAATATTTCAAGTAATCACGATCATGTGAGATGTCTCGTTGTAGTAACATTTGTAGAATGAATGAATTCACGTGTTTGTTATGAATGAAAAAGTAGTTCCGTCACAACATGACCTAACTGAGAGGTCATCGGTTATCCAATCAAATCGTTAGAATCTCAGGTCAAGTCGTTACGACACAGGTCAACGCGATACGACACATGTGTGACGTACGAGATTAGTATGCAACTCCCATACGTTGACCACGTGGGTAATAAAATCGTTATTTAAGCCTTGACTGAAGTCTGTGACGTCATGGAATTCTGACGTCACTATGCTGTGATGACGAAGACACACTCCAGCGCAGTAATGACGGGCTGCAGGGAGCTCTGGGTTGGAGAGTTACGACAAAGAATGACAAAATACTAAAGACTAATGTATAATTAACCCCTCCATGTCTCGATTCCTCTTTTTCAACCTTCACTTTGAAATCGAATAAAATACAACATATATCACACACACGAAAACACTGTACAGTTTTGAATTCCTTGTTCCTTGGTAGTCCATTGTCATTTTAGATAAATTAGCCGCTAACTGCTGAAAATGAACCCTGAAAATTAGGTACATCGTAAATCCCACATTGTTTACTCACTACGGCATTGTTAGTGTATTTCTATTTTCAAAATATATACATAGGATATTTACTGTCGAATAGAATTTAGTGATCATGGGTATCTGTTTTAAGATAAATCATCAGTGTATTCTGAAACGTCGCCGATGACCCTGGAATCGTTTGGAATGTTTTCAAAAATACTCAAACACGAACGCCGAAACGAGCTTTTCCGCACATTCTGTAGTGTTTGTCCGTGAAGATTCGGGTTAGAGCTGCTCTTCGTTAGCCCATGCTTGTCGTATAAGAGGTGACTAACGAGATCGGGTGGTCAGGCTTGGTTGATGCATGCCATCGTATCCCAACAGTAGATCATGATGGGAATGACTGGATTGTCTGGTCGAGACTCGATTATTTACAGACCGACTCATAAAGCTGGAATATTGAAGTGTGCTGCCTTAAACAACAAACAACAAACAACAAACAAACAAAATCGCGTTTCGACAAGGCCGGACACGAGACGCCTATTACATGATATTACACACTCAGCTGCGACACATACATCCCTGAATTCTTCAAACACTTTAGAATCAGTGACTAAAGGGCATTGTCACCACAACGCGATTTGATTAAATCACAGGAAGTAGAAAAGCTCTACGTAGATGTAAAAACGAACGCTGTGCTGGGAAGAGTGAGTGAGTATGGTTTTAAGCCGCTTTTAGCAATATTCCAACAATATCACGGTGGACTGTGCTCGGACACAGGAAAAAACAAAACAGGAATTCAGACTTGACTCTATGGACAGTCTCCAAGTTCCTGCGGGTTGGACAGATGTGATGCTACGTGTGGGGCTATTGGCAATGTAAAGGTTTCAACGTTTCATGTTGTACATATTTACTTAGAGACTGGGAATTGATCTTTATCTGGAGAATCATCGCGTTCATAAAAAAGTCACTGTTCAGCAGTTAAACCACTGCGCAAATTGATCTCACCAAGGATATGCACGATATTTTTGAAAAACGATAATGAAAGTTGTAGTACCGGGATTTCCCGTATATAAGCCCAGGGCTTAATAATGGAAAATGACCCTTCTCGTTCACAAATAAAAAAAACAAGCATAATTAAGCCCAGGGCTTAAATTCGGGAAATGCTTGTAACTGAAGAAAATGATTCTAAGACACGATAAAATGGAATAATACAGAAACCTGAACTTTAGACAATCATCCAAGAATTGTCTTAGACCTGAACTTGAATGACACCCCCTCTTTTATATTTACATACTTTACTGTTCTCGAGGAATGTCCTATGTTATTATCATATTTTATTGCGACTGCGTTTGAGTCATATGGATTGAGATTGTCAGTATGGGTATATCAATCTTTATTTTTTTCAGTACTTAAAAGGCCACAGGCCTGTAGTACATTTAAAGTTTACATGAGTAGATAGAAATCATTTATAAATTCTTTTCTGTAACATTACTTTTTCTTAATCTCATAGCGAAATAGATGTACATTGCCAGATTCTGTAATATTGATGTGGTAGTATCTGTTAATAGTGAAATTAATAGTTAATAGTTGCCCTTTATAATACCAATTTTCTAATTTAGAGAGTTTGCCACCTTTCTTAAAGACGATAATTTTGGTTTTGTCTCTCTGTTTACACACAATTTATATTGGTCAGAAAATGTGTCTAATTCATCTATTTGTTTCTGTAAACCGCTAACAGTACTAGAAAATAGTACAATATCATCGGCAAAGAGTAACAGAAATAGTTGTATTGTATCTGGGTGTAGTTGAATCATGTGTCACATATTTGTATTGCTAATTCATTAATGAAAACGTAAAAGGAAAGGGCTTAAAATACAGCCTTGTCTAACACCTAGTTCACTAATGAAAGGTTCAGATAAGTCATGCTGATTCCTTACACACACTTTAACATTTTCGTATATACTCTTCAACATTTTATTCATTTTACTACTAAGACCGTGCGATTGTAGAAGTCTCCATAGTTTATCCCGCTGCAC